GAGTCAGGCTTCTTTTAAGGAGGTGTGAAGGTTAATGTACAATCAAGTCATCCTGGACAGTTTGCTGTCAGACAGACCTGCTGACTCTACCAGTAGCTGGTAAATGAAATGGAGGGGACCACAAACAAACCAATTTTCTTCTTGTGAGCACAGAAAGACTGTTCTGAACTATGAAATAACTCAGCCTGTTGTTTATTCTCCAGGGTGTCAAGGCTGTGCTTGCTGAAAGCTATGAGAGAATTCATCGAAGCAACTTAGTAGGAATGGGAGTGATTCCTCTGCAGTATTTACCTGGAGAAGATGCAGGAACTTTAGGACTCACTGGACAGGAGCGTTACACCATTATCATTCCTGAAAAACTTCAACCACAGATGAATGTCCAGATTAAGGTATGAGACAGCTAAGAGCTGAATTTTCTGAATCACTGTTATTTTACTCAAAATTAATTGTCTCTTCAAAACATATGCTGTGTCATATGGCAGTCAGATTCACTCAGTATAGGGAGAAGAATTGAGAAGGTGAAGGAGATTAAAACAGTTATTCTAATAGGGGTTAAACTGAAGGAGAGTAGAATTAGGTTAGATACAAGGAATAATTTGAGATGAAGCACTGGAACTACTGCCCAGAGAAGCTGTGGATTCCTTCTCCCTGGAAGGGCTTGAGGCCAGGTTGGATAAAACTTTGAGCAACCTTCTCTAGTGGAATGTTCCCTGCTCATGGCAGTAGGGGTTAAAACTAGGCGATCCTTAATGTCCCTTCCAGCCCAAACCATTCTATGATTTACTATGACAGGATATAAAAGCAGGATGCTCAAACTGTTTTAATTAACACAAAGCCATCCTGTATTTTGGACCAGTCACTCAAAGTCAACTGTAAATTTCTCAGTTATAAATGAGGCAGCCAATGCAAAGAGATTCCATACTGTGTTTGTTATGGTTTGTTTTAAACCACTTTCCTCTCAAGCAGCTTCGTGTAGTCTAGTCTGGATAAAAATATTGGTGCCTGTTCACTTTAGCTTTCTATCACAATTTTTCAAGATAGTAAAACTATCCTAGTAGTCTTTATTTTACTATGATGTCAAATAACATGTGCAAGGTTCTGCTGCTTGAATGACTTTCTTTGACCCTAACAGCTGGACACCGGGAAAACCTTTAATGCCATCATGAGATTTGACACTGATGTGGAGCTCACTTACTTCCACAACGGCGGCATTCTGAACTACATGATCCGGAAAATGGCATCCTAATCAAAAGCAATTAAGCAAAAAGGTCCAGGTACAAACCTGCTTCTCCTGAGCACAATGAAACGATAGTAATCATGCATTTCAAAGTGTGAACCATAAAGTGAACAATTGTTTTCTGTGGATTGTATTAGAAGGCTTGTTTACAGTGCTGAATTTTTCTGTGTATCAGGAAACTGGACACACCCTCATAAACTAAACAGCATTTATTAACTGTTTTGTATGGCAGTTGGCTTGACTTACCTTAGGATACAGTGCAAAAGTCATTAAAATACTGCTGGCATCTGTAGAATCATTGAAGATCATGTGCTGATTTCATGTATTTGATCCACTTAGTTTGACTCTGAAGTTCTATGCTTATATCAATGTCTTAGAAATTAACTGACAGTATAAAAACATTTTTATTCCTTCCTGATTACCTGACACTGACTTGCTTTCTTATTCAGTTAAAGAGAATCTGAATCTAATATTGAAATTATTTAGCTGTTTATTAATTTTTAAAAATGTGAACTCTGTTTAAAATCTAAGCCTTTGTGGAAAGGTGGACTTATTGGGGATATTTCTAATAGATAAAATTAAATTTATTTTTAAAAAGTTTGGTGGTTCTGTCATTTTATCCTTAGTGTTGTGATGCAGAGCAAAACTTCAACTTACACTCTTCTCATTGTCCCTGTAGAAACAGAATCGTATGAGCCTTGACTTTCCATGTTTTAATTCTAATTTCTTTGACAAGCTTGCATGAGCTAGAATGAATACAAATACGGTCAGATCCTGGCAGTCTTCTGTAACCTTACAGAATACTGGCATGATACAATTCCATCTGTTTTGTGCCATCAAGAAGACAATCTCCACACTTTCAAGATCTTCATCAGCAATTTCTCTATCAGTTAGCAACCAGTAATTACATTCATTAACTCAATGCAGTCATTGACTGCCCAATCAACAGTGCCATGTGAATATATTTATGGCGACAATAAACTAATCTTACTCAGAGATAAACAATTATCACTCTTAACTGCATTTACGGCAACTGCCACAACAATTAACATAGTGGAGAAATTACTTCAAAGTAATTTCCTAATGTGTTTTTAGTGCAGATAGATCTGGCTTTCTGGATAAAAACCAAGTATTAAAACAGTTATGAAAGAAGAGACTTCTTTCATAGAAAGAAGAGGGCACAAAGACTGCAGTGTACCTGAAACAGGCTATTGCTTGATTGTGACTCCTCTGGTAAATCCATCAGAGGCCCACCACAATGTTGCAGGGTCTGAAGTATCTCTCATGAGGAGAAGCTGAGAGCCAGGACTGTTTAGTCCAGTGATGGGAAGGCTCAGGGATATCTCTGCTGTCTGTGTACAAACATCTGAATAGAGGGCACAAAAGAATATGCAGCCAGGCTCTTTTCAGTGATGGTTAATGACAGAGCAAGAAGCAGTGGGCACAAACAGTGTGAAACACAGCATGTTCCTTGTGAACAACAGGAAACACTTCTTCACTCTGAGAGACCAAGCACCAGTGGGAGGAGATTGCCAGGAGAGGTTGTGGTGTCTCCATCCTTGGAGATGTTCAGATGCTGTCTGGACATCTGGACATTGTCCTGGGCAATCCCTTGGGTCACAAGATGACCTTTAGAGGTCCCTCCCAACCATAGCTGATTCTGTGAACATAGTTAATATGGTAGTAATCTTAGTAAGAAATATGCAATTTCAGCTTCAGTTTGGTTTTTTTTTTTTTTTAAACCAGATATTCTCAAAGGCCAAATAGAGTGCTGGTGTTCTTCCCCACCCTTCCATCTTCAATGAAGGAGTGTACTGAAGGAAAGGCTTCTTGTATCAAGCTGAATTCTTATTGTGTTATTCCCATCAACCTTTAGTACTCATTTAGGCTGAATTGCAAAGTTTTAGTCTGAAATCCTTGCTTTTAAAGAATAGGAAAATATTAACTTTCAAGTTCAGCTTCCCAGGAGTTACTACTATAAACTGGAATTTTGGACTGATTATTTTTTTTATGCCAAGAGTCCAAAGCAGATGGCCCTTTCACAGAGCAATTTGATACTTAAGAACTGTGATTTTTCCATGTACTTTTAATCTGACAGTGCTAAATTAGCCTTTTTCAAAAGCATTTTGTTCCTAGTATTTTTGGAGGGGAGGCATTATCTAAACATAAATCATCTTAATTCATTGTTCTGTGTTTCCTTTTAGGTAAAAACTAAGTACAGAGGAAGTTACTGTAGGACTGAGATTCAGCCTTCCTGTACAGTGCATACAACTTTCACAGTAAAAGCCATGGATTGAGGTGGAACATGAAGCAGTGCTTACAAAGTTCTTTTGCTTTTAATGCCACACAACACTTTATAAGAACACCACAAGCCTCACTGAGTAGGATTTAGGCAGTTTAAATTTATTTTTGAACTCACAAATTTAGGTTCTTTTTTTTAACTCTTAAATTAGGTTTGGGGTGGGAGGGTTGTGTTTTGGTTTTGGGTTTTTATTTTTAATCAGTTCCAGTGTTTTGTAGCATAATTCTTGCACATACATACCTTACCACATTGCAAACACACAAAGTGAATTTAAAATACTGAATACTAACCTTATTGAAAATGTGTGGAATCAGCAGGTGCTTTTAAGTGTTCAAGTAAAACATTTCATAACGCTAGGAATTTCTGGTTTTCCCAGAGAAATCTGGGATCTGGGTAAAGAGAACAAATTTGAACAAACTAATGCCTAGATTTTGTAAGAATGCTAGATCACCTGTGACATGAAGCTTACAGTATTTCCAGTGTCTTGAGAGATTTTAGATGGTAATCCATGAAACAGGGCATCCAGGTAAGTGCTAATCCCCATCAAAACTGAACCTCCTCCCATGATCCAGTGCACATTGTCCCTGTTAGGACATGTTCAGTTCAGCAGCGCAGGAGGGTGCCCATTCTGCAACTTGAGCAACACCAACTTGATCAAGGTGCAGTGATACAAAAAAGTGCTACCATTTTAATCACGGGGATAAATCCCCAAGAGGGCTCTGCCCTACTGCATTTCCTGCTGTTGCAGAAGCATTTCCTATTAAAAATAGATTTAAGAGATGTAGTATCTTCCTTACAGAAGTTACTGGACATTTTTCTTTCAGTTTTATATATCAATGTCTAGAACATTAAAAGTAACTTTCTGAAAAGTTTCAAAAGTAGCTAGAGTACTGCCTGAAGTGCTGGTAAGCCATGTTGTTTGCAAGGATGTGCTACACGTGCATGTCTTCCCAAAGAAGTTGCTGATTCACACCTTGATTCTTGGAGATGTAGCTTGTTACCTAAAGCTGGATGTTTAGTTAGTCATTCAACTTGATCTTATTTTTTTGAGACCAGGTTACTCATAGCCATAATGGCTTGTATCTAGACTCCTAGGCACGTATTTGTCCTTCTAGTGAAACTTCTGGTGAAATATTTTGTTATATAGCAAATAGTGGTTTTAGTGGCTTTGCCAGCCTTCTATCATCTAGCCAGATGCAGGTGAGGGGCCCAGCATAAAGAACAAAAGTTTTTATAGAAAATTGATCATTGCTGCTACTGCCTTAGAACAATATATCCATTAAAATATTGAGTTCAGCTGGATGTTTCTTCATCAAAATTCTTCAAAGACAAATTAATACTTTTCCATTTCTGAAAATCCATTTGTGTCCCAGTTTCAACATCCTCTAGTACAAAGCTTCTGATTTTGATCACTGGTAGATTATCAAATACCTTGTACTTCACTATGATCCCCCAGTCATGCTGGCACTCAGTATTTCGGCAATGCATCTTGCTTTTTTTCTCAAAACCATCAAAATGAATCCGTTTCTTGTGGGGTTTTGTTGTATAACGCTCCTTGAACGCATCACCTAAGACAGTGTGATGAGCATCCTGAAACACATGCCAGAAACACTTAATGTTAGAAACAACATTCCTCATTTTTCTCTTGTCATTCCCCTTCTCTTCTCAAATTCATGTTCTCCCTGTTAAGGCACTTGCTGTCATCCAGGAGGCTCACCTACCAGCCTCTTTCGCTCATTGCTCTTTTTTTTCCCCTGTTCATGGAATACCAGGTACTAGAAGGACCCAGGCCTGGGCTTATCAAAACCAAAAAAATTTACTGTGTATCCCCAGTCACCAGCTTACATATGTTTGAACTTAGTAAGCTTTTTAAAAATGGTGTTCGCAGTATTTGAGCCATGTTCATGAAACTAAGAGAGTAATTCAGACAATGAGCAAGTCTGGGAGACTCCTGTTTCTCATGAGGGGTCATGCAATTACTTCCAAGTGGTAGAAAAAATAACCCTAAAAAGAAGGAGCTAAAGTTATTGTTTATAACATATATACATAAGCATTGTTTATAACATATATAATAAACTGTTAAAGAAATTAACAGCCTTATTTTTCAAGCATAGTTACAATCTGAGCTTAAGTCTGAAAATGACAGAGCCTCTGGAAATGCAGTTTGTAGGGAATTATTTAAAAACTGAGGCGCTATTTGCAGAGTACTAAGCAAAACCACTTACTGAAGAGTTTTCTGAACTCTTGGCTCTTTTTGTACAGGTATAGGTGATAAGCCAGGAGCACAAAATAGAGTAAAAGTCAAAGGTGCTTTAGATAGCCTTTGTTTTTTGTCAAAGAAATGTAACCAAGTGTTCACAAAGCTGAGTTATTCCCAACTCCTTGCAGAGCTCAGCTATAGTGAGCACCATCTACATTCCAAAAGCAGCTGGTAAAAACAAACAAAAATTTGGCAAGGGCCTGAAGGCAGACACAGTAATGCTCAGCTGTCGCCTGAGGCCCCTCATCACATTGCAACTGCACTTTTCAGAGCAGCACAAATAGAAGCATCTTCAAATGAACAAAAAAACAGAACTATAAAGGCTCAAAGTGCTCAGAAAGCCTCTCTTCCATGATCATCACTTTCCATGTGTAAAGAATATTGCCTTCTTTTGTCTACAAATAAAATATTCATGTTCAGAAAGAGTACAATCATAATGTCCCTAGGATATACATAGAAGCAATGTGAACTACACCTACAGAATGGAAAACAATACTGTAGAACTGTAGGGCTCTTCTTGTGAAACCATGGTTTACCTTGCTTTTCAAAATTCAAAGTGACCCATAAGACAAGGAGTTTGTAAGCCAATCCCAGTACTTTGTGTAGATAATTTTCAGTCAACAGAAATTGTGGGAGAAATATCTCGGCAGCAGACAGACTTCCATCTGATGCTAATCAGGAAAGTAAATATCCAGCCGTAACTCTAGAAGGTTATGTATTTGAAGATCAGGGAATTTTCAACAAAATTTGTCAGAAGGGCTTCAGGAAAACTGAATCGATTCCTACCATATCCCATATTTCCCCTCCTTGGACAATGTCATATCATATCATAGTCATATCATATATAATATCATATATCTCCCATATAATATATCATACCACAGAAGTAGTCACAACTGTTCCTGTGGTTTACTGATTTACTCAGGATTTCTGTTCTCGTCCAGTTTGCACAAAATAGCCCACTTCCACGCTGATAAACAATGCAGTTAGTTCAATAATGCTGACTTCCCTTGTTGGTCATGGATATAGGTTCCTGTACAGAAACATACCTTTATAATTCTGATGTCATCTGTACTGCAGACATATGTTTTGCATTTTCCACACAAGTTTTTTTTTCCCTTCTACTATTTCATGTTTTGTTTCATTCTTCCTGGAATCTCGTAGCATCTTTTCCTTCATTTGCAGGCCATGTATCTTTAATAAAGAAATAAAAATCAAGATCATTATGAAATGAAATCTCAATATCAGCCTAACATGACTTTGAGCATGTAATATCTAGGAACCTATTACTTAAAGCACACGAAACAAAACACACTTTGTTCTGGCAACTCATACCAAGAAAAAATGGTACATTTGTCAACTTAGAATGCAGTGACTATGTGATGAACAGCATTTATGCTGTTTGTTCCTTCCTCCTCTCTAGCCCCCAACAGCCCCTCTGGTCTTAAGGCTGGTATGTCAGTGTGAACCCTTAAGTCACATGAGACCTACACCATAATTAACGCTGCTGCTCTGGGAATCTCATGGTTTGGAAAGAAAGCTACAAAGACCACAAAAACTGCAGGCAGAGAAAGAAGCAACAAGGCACAGCCTGTAGTTGAGAACTCGATGCAGAAATGGAATTCTCCAAGAAGAAGTGAGAGCAACTGCACCAAGCCTTGGAGGTAGGACAAGAAATGTCACAAAGACTAGGGGTCTTGGGCACCCTTTGTTGCACAGCTCAGTCTAAAAGCTTGTCTGGAAACACAGGATGATCTGTGAGTCCAAGGGGGTATGGGATAACTGTGTACAAAGCTTTTTTTTTAATCGTGCCTTTCACTGGCTTTTTCCAGGCTTCCCTGAGGCCTGGGGAACACCACTGATACCAGCCACTAGCTGTATTTAACTCTAGTCACTCCCACCCTCTGGGCCCAGCCATTTTTTTACACAGCAAAGAATGCACCCATCCAAGCCATGAACAGCCAGTCTCTCTGGGAAAATGCTGTGGGAAATGTTATCAAGGTCCTTACTGAATTTCAGACAGACACCAAACACAGCCTTCCCCACATCCACTAAGCAGGTCACACTGTCCCAGAAGAAAATCAAGCTGCTCAAGCAGGACCTGCCTTTCATAAACCCGTTCCAGGTGGGCCTGATCCCTGATTGTCCTGTACATGATGGGTAATAACACTCAAGGTGATCTGGTCTGTAATGTTCCCTGGCACCGAGGTCGGGCTGATGGGGCTGTAGTTCCCTGGATCCTCCTGCTCCTTCTTGCAAATGGGTGGTCACACTGACCAACCTCCAGTCACGTGGGATCTCCCTGATTATCCAGGACTGGAAAGTGCTGGGAAATGGATTGATGAGCTCTTCTACTAGCTCTCTCACTGCCCTTGGGTGGATCCGTCTGCCCCCCTAAACATGTGTGTATCACAGTGGTGTAGCAAGTCACTAATCAGTTCCCCTTGGATTAAGGGGCCTTCCTCCTGCTGCCTATCTCTGTCTTCCAGCTAAGGGGCTGGATATCCTGAGAACAACCAGTCTTAAGAGAGGCAAACAAGGCATCAAGTGCCTCAGTGTCTTCTCTTCATCTTTGTCACTATGTTTCCCCACATATCCAATAAAGAATGGGGATTTCTCCTTAGCTCTTGGTGGCGCTCCGTATGAATATCCAGTTGGGCTTTGGCCCTCCTGATTTTCACCTGCAAACCATCACAATATCATTGTGCATTGTGCCCAAGATGGCCTCAAACTCTTACATCATCCATGAGTCCTCTTTTCATAAGCAACAGGTCATAAATTCTACCTTACACTCTTAAGTTTTTTGCAATTACCGTACAGTTGATATTCACAAACTGGCAGTACACAGTATCCCTTCTCTGCTGATCTAGCCTTTGTCAGAAATCAAGTACAATGAACACTTCCCACAGGTTATCACTTAGCCCTACGTAGAGCCTTAGAGTAGGTGAAGGTTGATACAGATTATGCCTTTAAAATTTCAGTATGAAAACTGCATAAATCACAAACCTTTCTTGCAAATGTTGTTTCATGCCAGTTCTGTAGCTTTTCAATAGCTGCATTCATCATTTCTTCCTTGTAACTGTTTAGTTTTTGTCGTGGGGTGACAGCCTTTATCCCAATATCGTGTGTTGTGTCTGGCAGCTGCGCCTTCTCCTCCCCCGGCCCGGCCATCTTGCCGCAGCGGGGCGGGGCGGGAGGGGTGTGAGTGTGACCAGGCACCTTGGCTTTTGCTTTTGCTGCTTGGCTTGGCTGGCTTGCTTGCTTGCTCCTGCCTCGGCTGCTAGCTGCTTTTTTGCCACTTTCTGCTTTCTACGCTGGTTTTTTTTCCCTTTTTCTTTCGTTCCCTCTTTCTTACCCTCCCCCGAAGATATTGGACCGGCTCCGGACCTGACCTGGGACGTCCAGGACCCCCGGCGTCCAGGACCCCCGGAGTCTGCGAGAGAAGCTCAGCGCCCTCCACAGCACTGCCTGGTTTTCTTTTCTTTTCTTGTGCTGGGGAGTGTTCTTTTGTTATTTGTTAATAAATAGGTTTTGTTTTCCACTGTGCTCCTCCGAGGAATTCCTTCCCGAACCCGGTATTGGGGGAGGGTGGTTGGAGGATTTTTTTAGGGAGCTCCCTTTTGGAGATTTCCCCTAATTTGTCCTAAATCAGGACAGTTTTTCATTCTCAACCACTTCTGTTTTGCTTGTCACAAGGATGCACTTGCTATCTCTTGCCCTTCCACGACCCACATAGCAACACATTTATGCTCTTTAGTAACTCTTAACAACATGGGCAGAAGGGAGAGGTCTGCCATAATAGTATTAAGGGCCTTCTGGATGGCTGCTTTTGTTTGCGAATTTCATATTCAGACAATTCTGAAGAGGATTCTTCAATAACAAACCAGAACAAGACCCTTCCAGGTATCCTCATGGGTATACCCTAGCCAGTACTTTATTGCCTGCTTATTTGGCCTCCCTGCACTGAGTTCAGTCTTGCTTTGAAATACAATTTTTGTGTAGCGTTTTGCCGTCTTCTTGTCATGTAAAAAAAAAAAAAAAGTAAAGGAGAAAAGTTCATCTCAGTCTTTCTTATTAGTTTTCAGCCCTGATACTTGGTGTCTAAAAAGACCCAAAAACCCCATATATCACAAAAACCTAAGGAACTGGAAATATTGTGCTGACAAGAACACAAACAACAGCAAGCACCTTCTGGGCCAATTATTTCATTACAAAACACAAATAAGAAGGTCACAGCACACAAACCCTGAAAGTAGAATACAGAGTAAGTACAATGGAAATCACTTCACATTAAATTATGATGTTAACTGCTTGGGAAATAGGAAAAAATATTGCAGATGCACCCTTAAAAGAGTAGGCAGTTTTATGCCATTTAGGAATGTAAAGCAGAAATCAGTATTTAGTGTGGCTCTTCATTCCCCTCTACTGGCCATACTGTAAAATCACCGAATTTCAGGCCAAAGTCACAACAGACTTTTTTCTGGACAAGCAGGGAAGACAGACACAGGGTGTCTTTCTTTTGGTCCTAAATATTAGAGATCTGCACAGGCGAAGACCTCATATACCTGGGAGTAGCTGGGCTGGTAATAAACCACCAGGCTGGGGAAGGCCTTCAGAAGCCAAGGCAATACAAGAAATTCCATTGCAGCAGTCCTTTGTAAATTGTCACAGAATGATTTGTAATATTTCTGACAACAGTCCTTCTAGCCACACTTCTGCTTATATGTTATTGTCAACTTGAGGTATCAGTCCTCAACAGCTCAATAACCTTGTGCAGCATGGCTAATTTGCTAGTTGTCAGTCAGACAACATCAAGGACTTGGCTCTGCAAACAAATTTATCATGTCCCATCATTCGCCTGACTTTGCTCTTAAGGTACAGAGAAATAACAGCAAGGCATGCACATATTACTACAGTATTTCCAATGTGCCATTTAGTAGCATTTATTGTCCATTTCTAGGCCAAAACAGGTTTCTACAGTAATAGCTCTGAAATTCCATACGTCTAACTTGGATCATTTTGGTGACATTACCGAAGTATTCATAGAGCACCACAAGGTTACACTCAGTAATATCAATGCCTTCGTCAGCAACAGATGTAGCAATTAGCAGTCTGATGTCTTTGTCATTTCTGAATGTATCCAGTACACCCTTCTGTATTGGCAGGGTCATACCTACAGTACCAAGAAACTGTGTCAGCAAAAAAACACTGAAGAGCTCCTTGAGCAAGATACCCACATTTGCTTTTACTTAAGTGATTAGAAATTTGTACATTCTTTTGATCTGGAAAACTACTTCAAGTTTGATATGCAGCTGGTGTACATTATACCCACTGACCAGGGATTCCTGTTGATGTGTCACAGGAATTATCAACCTGGGAAACACCATTTTAGACACAACACCCAGATCATCTTTATTGGAGATACCCATGCAGCTTATTTAGTTAAAACCCAACCTAACTCTGAACTTAAGCCATAGGTAATTAATCTCAGCTGTTGCTTCCCTTCTATCTTAAAATGTCTTTCTGCTATCAAACACAAAATAAGAGAGGGATCTATAAAAGTAACACAGATAATATGATAATTAATCACAAGAAGCTATGACAGTGAACCAGCAGAAGAATCCTGCAGAAAAGTATTGTTGACACTGTTACTGCTGCTTTAACCAAGAGTTCTGGACAGAAAATGCAAGCATCTCCTCAGGATCCATTCAAGGTCTTCCCGATATGGAAGAATTTAAGTGCAAACTGCATGACCTTCCTCTGTTTAAGGGCACAGAAGATGAACACAGGAAAAGCAGAAGAGTTTTAGCAGCATAGCCACCACTGGTTTAGCATATCTTAGTGCAAATCTGCATACCTGTTTTCTGATCTCTTCTTCCCTTACCCATCAACACATCTGGCTTTATGTGGCTAAGAAGAGGGTTTCCTTCTATCCACTTCTTCAAAGCCTAGAGAGCAAATCAGGAAGTTAGATTCCCTGTGCAGATGAAATGCTAGTTTGTGATAGGCAGGAACTTAAAGGCTGGCTAGAGAGCAAGCAGCCTTTCACTGCTAAAAATTTTGCATTTTTCTCTTATAAACTAACAGGTTTGCCAGGAATGCTACACCTCTGGCATCAAAGGAAAATAGTTGCTGTTTACAAACTGGGCTTCCACTATGCAGTGACAGTAGCATGTTCAAACTGCTCTTACAGAAGAACAAAATTCAGCCAAGCTACTGTAGGCTTTTAAATCTAAAATGGAAAGCTTCCAGCAGAGCTTGGTGTTGTTAGTTTGGACTTTAGCCTGCTTTTAATTTTTTTCTGGTCTGCAATTCATCCAGCATGTCTGAATGAAAAGGATAAAAAGCAGGGCTGGGACACTGAGCTGATAAATCTGTTTACAGTAGATAGAGCTGATATTTGTGTTAAATGTTTTAATCTACTCGTGCTAATGATTAGCAGCACATCAACATCAAGCATGAACTTTTTCTGGGAGCAAGGTACTGTAAGGGAAAAAAAGCATCATCCAGCCTAGAGTCTTGATCATAGGCAAGTATTAAATAGACCAGTGACAACAATACTCCAGAGAAAAACTGCTGCACAAAGTTTTTCCTTTTTCTTGATCAAAACAGGTGCTAGGTGACAGACCTTCTTTAGGTCTGTAGAAACCCTTTGAGAAATGTATATATACCTCTTGATGTGCAGTCAGTAATGGAGTAGAGCTGCTGATTCATAACACCACTACATTAAAGCCAAAACCCTTAAAACACATCTGCACATTTTTCTATTTCAGATCAAAATGGGAAGGGTAATGATGACTCATTTTATTTTCCCATTTCCCATTTTAGGAGTTTTAAAAACAAATGTCATACAGCTACTAAGGCTCTTGTCTTGGCAAAGAGAATAGTGCGAGTCTGTGGGTTATAGTGGTATGCTTCATCCAGGATGCAAGCAAGCTCTTCCAACTTTGGATTCTCATTTGACTCGTCTTTTGAAAGGGCAGTCAGCTCTAGTTCTTTCTCTGAAAGAAAAAAGGTTACTTGAAAAATCTACCTTTTTTAATTCAGAAAGCAGAATTCCCACACAAACCTAGTTTCAAACAGCACACACATTCTCTTTAGCTTCCTTTTTTATTTTCTATTCTGTTCTTTCAGATGCAAGCAGGGAAATCTGTTGGCTAAATGTAACAAAATCCCCAGAAAAAACCCCAAATTATGAGTATCTCACATTTTGTAGCAAACTGACATGAGAACTTCTGTGATATACTGTGTGTCAAAAGACAGCAACAAAACAAACTCAGCTCTTGTGCTAATTCTTCCAAGAAAAAAACCTGAAACTCGAGGAAAGACAGACCACTGATTTAAAATTCCAGTCAACATTGCAACACACCAGACCACAGGCTGGACAATAGCCCACTGCTAACTAAATCAGGTCAGAGTACAGTGACAACCTCTGACTTTCAATGAGAAAGGTACAAGGGCCACCTGCTTCTCCCCGGAAGACTGAGACTGCCAGGAGGCTGAGCAGTGCACTGGACAGTGTATGTTGACTTATATCACACTACCAGCACCCATGACTGTAGACCATCCCCCTACTGGCAAGGGCACTGTTGCCTTATCTCCAAGACAGGCATGTAAGAACTTACTACAGCACCCAGCTATAATTATTACTATTTTATCAGCTTCTGCACTAGAAGCTTACAATCCCAGAAATTTAGTCCCCCTCCACCTGCCCTAACACTGCACTTGCACCCATGCAGTCACCACATCTTCTGGAAAGTGCAGTTTCTGAAAAAACAACTGCACTAACTCTATAGAAAACATCTGGACCATCCTACCATAAGCTCTCATCCCCCCTGCAACTGTCACAGGTACTGTGGGAAATACCTTGAAATTTCTCCGTCAGCTGCTTCTCTAACTCTGTATATGGTCCGTTTTTTACATTTGTGAAAAAATCATTTAGGTAGGCTAAAGCATCTTCGATGCGGGCATCTTCACTGATAATGAGAGCATCGTTGAATTTCTGCTTGGAAAGAGACACAAGCATTTAAGCCTCATTTTCCACAGGGCAGGATGAACACAAATTTCATTTAGCTAGATTAAGTGTTGCAAACTTGTGGTGTTCTTCCATTTCCATGACAACACAAGCACTGCAAAGTCTCCTCTGCATTAATCTGTCCTCAGTGAGTATCACAGAGACAGCTCTTACATGCCTTATGCTTTAGACTGTGTCAGCTTGCTGCAGCTTTCAACAGCCTCACTTAGTGGAGAGGCAAGTACAGGTCTCTTCACTGTCATGACCAGTGACAGGACTCATGGAAACAGCCTGAAGCTGAGTCAGGGGAGGTTTAGGTTCAATATCAGGATTTCACCCAGAGGGTGGTTGGGCACTGGAACAGGTTCCCCAGGAAAGTGGTCACAGCCCCAGCCTGACAGAGTTCAAGAAGTGCTTGGACAATGCTCTTGGGGTCATGGTGAGGATATCCTCTGCAGGGACAGGAGCTGGACTCAATGATCCTTAGGGGTCCCTTCCAACTCTGCATATATTCTACGATTCTAAATAGGACAATTGGTTCAGAATTTGCTTCTAGGTGAACATACCTTTATCAGAAGGAACAGAATGACTCTACTCTGTATGGAAGGAAAGAGGATACACACTTACCCGCAAGTGTTCAGTACAAATGAAAAGGTCTCTACAAATACTGCTCTCCCTCTCCTTATCTTCCAGTTGCAATAGTCTGCATTTCTTCTGAGTGGAAACTATCCAATGTTCATATCTCTGTGTTCCAAAGTAACTCTTGTTGATTTGGGAGATGGTATCTATTAAAGGAGAGAAAAAAAAATTGTTCCTCTCAATTAACAAATAAAAAGCATTAGCTAGCATTTCCCACTAACATTGGCTCTAAAAAACCTATTCAAAAGAACAGTTTTATGATAGAATCACAGAACCACTGAGGCTGGAAGGCATCTGTGGAGATCTTTAGTTCAAGCCTCTGCTCGAAACAGATCACCTGTAGCACGTCACTCAGTTCAAATGGGCTTCGAATACTTCCAAGGACAGAGAGTCTACAACTTCTTTGGGCATCCTGTTCTAGTGTTTGACCACCTTGTAGCAAAAAAGTTCTTCCTGTTGTTTAAGTATTTCTGTTGGTGCCCATTGTTTGTGCCCCACCTATGGGAACCACCTGTGAAGAGTCTGACTTAATCTTCTTCACTCCCTGTGTTTCACTGTATACCCAGCTGTTAGCCTAAAATTAACCCAGTACAATTCAACTGAGGATCTGTGTACACATACACTCATCTGCAGGGACTTAGTAATAAAATTATCCTGTAAGAAGCCTATGGTATTCAAAAAACTGCATGTACATTGCTCCTTGAATTACCAGCTATTCAATAGTTTATATTCATTCATGAGACACTCCAGAAGCATATTGTCCAAGGGGCTGTCCTTGAGGCAGAACTAGGCAGTACCTCTTTGCTGCATACACGCTCTGCCTGGGTGCTTCATGGGCTACTGTAACCACAGGGTCCACAGAAGGGAAGCCACTGCTATTCATGCAAGAGGAATTGTGATGCAATATAAGCTTCAGAGGTGTTTGCTTAATGTAACATTCATTTTGAAAATCTCTTTGTTCTTTGATCAGGCTTATTGGGTTTTGGGTTGTTTTGTTGAGGTTTATTTTAGTTGTATGGGGGTTTTAATTCTCCTTCCTGCCCCAGAATATAGTTCGCTCTCAAATATTTGGGAAATTTAGGGCAGGGGTTAAATCTAGAACTGAGGTAAACAGGTTTAAGGCGCTGCAGTCAGGGTGCAAAAACCAGTTTAAACACAGACAAAATCCTTTAATCCAGAGCTGGAGAGACCAAGGCTGATCCTGAGCATATCCATTCATGGGTTTCTGCTCTGTACCCCCTTCTCCTCTCCAATTTTTTTATTAAGGCCATTTACTGGACATCACTTAGGAACTCTGCAAAAGCAGAAAATATCAATTTATTTTTGAAGGGTTATAGAATTAATCTCATGATCACGAGACCCATTTTCTTTTCAAAATCATGCATCACCTCTCTGCAAACCTCCCCACCAGAGCAGCTCCAGAAGCTGGAACCCTACTGACAATTGTTTCCTTTCTTGGATAGCCACATCCTCTTTCCAGTGATGTTTATGTTGCACAGATCCTACTCTGAAACATTACCTCAAAGACTTTTCAAAGGAAAACAATTAAGACCTGGTAAAAAGTAGAAATAGGAGTACCCAGAAGCATAAAGAGGACAGAATGCTGACCAGAAAAGGTGGGCAGGGCAACCCTAGAAATAACTCTGAGTGCAGCTTGGAGACCAGAGAAAACCTTTGTCCTGGGTTGACTATATGATGCTTTTATCCCCAATCGTCTTGTCCTGTTTATACTGAATAATAAGTTTTACCCTTTTAAGACTCTCTTCCAGAGAGTGAAGAGGGGAGGGAAGAAGCGCGCAGTTTGTTTTTCAGACTGCACTCACTCCTCCACATTCCTGCTCCTGGACTGTGTTGTCTGCGGACGTACAGACAGCAGGACAGAGCTCCTCTTTTCCCCTTTTTTTTGCTTTTAGTTAGTTTTAGCTAGCTGAGGCAAAGAAGTTCCCTGGACTGTGATTTTTCCTTTTTCTTGGATCTGTTCAAACTTGCTCTGGACTGAACACCCAGAAGAGCACCGGCAGCTCCACCTGAGGCCCCTTGGCCGGGCCTGGGCCGTGGCAGTTCCAGCACCAGAGAGACTGATCAAAGACTGAGTGAGACAAGCTGCAACCTGGGGAGGGGACTGAGTTTGGTTTTTTTTGGAGCAGTGAGAAGTTTCATTGTTTAATATTGTTTGGGTTCTATTGTTTAATAAACAGGTTTCTTTCCACTTTTTCTCCAAGGAGATATTTTCTCCCGAACCAGTTGGGGGGGAGGGGCAATTGAATCTGCTTTCGTAGAAAAGCCCCTTTAGGAGTTATCTCCCAAACTTGCCCTAAACCAAGACAAAGTGTCAGAGCAGCAAAACCACACTGTTTATAGTTGCATGTGACAGACTGAAATTCAAGTAAAAATATTTATGATTGTCAAACTAATCAGGTATAACAGGAAAATAGTTGATTCTCTTATCTGTAATCTGTTATTTAGGAAATATTGGTTAAATGCAACTAAAAATGAAGGAGAAAGAAAGTGAAAAAATAGTGTCCGATGTAGCAGCTATAACGATTCACACTGATTTAATCAAATACTGAACTGCAATACAGGCATATTACAGCATCTTACCCACTGAGTAAATCTTCCTCATCAACACCTCTGTCTCAGACATCAGACCTGAGATAATGTCTGCAAAGTGATTCTGAGCTCGCATTTTAACCCATCTGATATCTAGAGAAGAGAAATATTAGTCAGTGTGCTAAGTAAAACATTTCCTTGGGAAGCACAGAACAAATTCTTGTCTAGATGATTGCTACACATGGTGCTTCATGCAATCACAATCAAGTTTACTGCTAATGAGCACTGCAGGTGCACAGAAATAAGCAGCCCCAGTCCTCACTGGCAGAACTGAATTAAAACTAGAGATGGTGCATCAAGAGCAGTGAAAATATGCCCAAGTGGGCACTGCCTTACTGCAGGACAAGAGATTGCAAGCTTAAACTTCTTTTAAGCTAGCAGGAAGCAAAGCTGCAGCTTGGTTTTAAGCTTTTATCTTAATCTAAAAAAAGGGAAATTTAGTAGCTGCCATAATCATGGTGCTTTGCAACTCACAGGAAAATAAAAAGGAAGTCTGCTTACGTGTTTCTGGCTTGTTTCCAAACCTCTGCAGATCTTGTTTGTTCTCTCTGACAGTGGATATGGCCTGTATGTCAAGGTAGGAGCAGAGGGTACAGATGTGCTCTACAGTTTCATTAGTACTCTTGGCATTACCAACTCCAACAGAAGCAGTTAAACCTACAATCTAAGCACACACATGAATAGCAGTGGTTGCTCCTTTTTCACAAACAGAATAAAACCAGGAGACATCGTTACCAGTCACCAAATTGCCACCATCTTAAAAAACATGGAAACAAAACAGGCAAGAGAAGTGTAGAAGAAGCAGGCACAAAAACTTAAGAACCAAATCCTGTATGTACTCATGCCTACTCCAAGGCACTCAAACTAGAGGATTTAAACTTAAAATAAACTATCCAGCCACTTAAATCCATAAGGAGCTGTATCTCTCAGTGCTTATCATACAGAGGAAGAGCAAACCCACACCCAGACCCATCCTTTGATTCATTCAGAGATGTCTTCTCAGCTGGATGAAAACCTCATGCCAGCAGAGGCGTGGCCCCATTTTATTGGGCAGAAAACAGCAACAGAGAGGCAACAAGGAGATTACTAAATTACATGCTTTCTTCCCAGTTCAGCTCTTCCATTTGCTCTCAAGTACTCCAGTCTTTGTTATGCTTGATCAGTCTTCCTTGGCAGCTGCAGGGAAGATCTAACACAGGAAAAAAGTGGAAGTGTCCAAGAATGAAAAAATGTTTCAGATGCTACCATTTCCATTTTCAGCTGCTGTTAAATGGGAGTTTGAACTGGATCAGCACAAAAGGCAGGACTTTGCTGACTGCATTGAAAAACACTTTCCTCTAACATTTCCACCACTGACAGGCTGGGCCTTACCTGAGGCAGCTGGTTTGCAGAGGAGTCAAGTTTTTGATCCAGGTATCTGGTCATCAACACATTGTAGGGATGGTTGCCTGTAGTGTTATGGCACTCATCAAATATCATCAGAGTGAAGATGGAGAGGGAGCTAAGGATCCCTTTCTCCATACTATTCACAAGAATCTGGGGCATTAGCACAATGATGTCGCTGTCCTGTATAACATTTTCTACAGAGATATTTGCAACTGTTTCACCACAAATTCCTTGAACAGAGTATCTGGAAAGAAGATGCAAAAAACAGGGTATGAAAAAGGATATCTTGCAGGTCATGGAAAGCTAGAAAACTGGGTTTTTCAGTGAGCTTGAAAGGCAGTTACTAAGTTTCAAATGTCGAAGAGTTGGAGCTGGCAGTTTGACCACAGAAGCTGAGAACAGAAAAAGAGCTGAGGGTAAATAACTGGATTTTCAACTATCATTAACAAAAATATAACATATTTGAGGAGTGTTTAACTTGTACATTTAAGCTGTATTTGTCAGTTCACGTGTAACATCCTCTTTGTGAATATGTCTGGCATCATGGGACTGTTTCTGCCTAGCAGCCTCCTTTTCCCATAGCTACAAGGATATGTACATGGATGTTGAGTAACCAGTTCCCTCAAAATTCAAATATATAGGTTTTTAATGCCCCTCTAAGTAATACACAGTCCCATCTGAGAGGTGGACTATCATTATCTGACTAGAGGCTGAAAAAACAAAGAAGTTTGGGTCCTTCATTTAGAAAAGAGAAACTCTGAGAATGGCAAGAGGAATCCCACTGCTACTGCAGGAACTACCTCAGCTTTGGAAGCAGGTGTGAAAGGAGTCTCAAGAGAAAACACACCTCTCTCTTTCAGTACAGAAATACTTTCATCATTTCCACAGATGTGCAACAAGTGCTTGAACTCTCCAGAACTAGATTTCAGACTCTCAAAACAAAGTCTACCATGGCAAGATTATACTGCCAAACATTCTTTTTCACCAGTAAACACATTACATCTTGCCCTAGCCACAGCTGACCTATAGTTCAGTTTACTTTCTGTGGAGGAAGCCAGCAGGGAGAATGACACTTACCCACTTCTTTCAAAATGCTGCCTGAATACATTTTTCTGCTGCTCATACACTGGCACTTTGGTTGCAAGGAAGACAACTTTTGCCCTTCGTCCTGAGGGAACGTTTTGCAAATGATGTTCACAAATCAGAAGTGCCACAAAAGTTTTTCCAGATCCTTCAAGCAAAAAACATGAATGGTAAAGGACTAGTATGAAAAGGTGCATTTGTAAGCAGCAGCTTGTCTCATCTGAATGCCTTGTAACAAAGGGGAGCTGCCAAGGGGGTCGTTACTCTTCCAGACTTGAACATATTTGGAAAAGATTTGAACACAAGTATGTTTTTTACTTAGGTGGGGAATCATCCCTTTCTCTCTCACAGTCTCAGTAAAGGCCATTAAGCAGTCACTGGGGATTAAAATCCATTTGCAGTTGTATTTGAATTCTTTTAAATCACTGAGTCTGTTTTTCACTCTTAGCATGTGCTCTCACATCAAATCAGACTATGTATAGACACCAGGCCCTTTCAGCTTCCATCCTTCCCCATGCAGCCTTGCTCCTCTTCCACTCATTTTCCTTTGGCCCTCAGGCTTGCTGTGCCACAGCTATTCTCTCCCCCTGCCTCTGTTATCCCACTTGCCTCCAGGGCTCAAAGGAAAATTCGGTTGCCTGGATGTTGTAGGCATTGCAGTAGAGAAGAGAGGGGAGCCTCTCTTCTAAGCTAACTCATCCTATTTTTCTTTCAACTTGAAAGATGAATTTCTTAAATATCAGAATTAGTTACTGGCTTAAACTGAAAAATCCACTCTGAGGAGTGAGAAAGCAGAAGTCAGAACATGGAAATGAATGCTGAATGTGCTGAATACAAGCACTGATATGCCAACAGACACGTCTCTCCTGACAGCCTCTGTGCTGCCCATGGTCATTAATTGCAGGGTAGAGCTGGATCTACTGCAAGCAAGAAAGCTTTGAAATAAATGGCTGAAGAAGTCTGATTCAACCTTTACCATTCCCTATCCTTCACAGCCATATGCACCATATGCAAGAGAATTTTCGCGGTGCCTGTCTCCTTACCTGTGGGGGCACAAATCAATGTGTTTTTCCCATCAATAGCAGGCTGTGCAAGCTCAGTCTGGTAGATTCGAGCCTTCCTTCATTGGTTCATAAACAGATGAAGACTCACAGATGCTTTCTAGGATAAAACAATGTTTTTGTGAAGAGCACTGCAATAAAAATGCAAAAAATATGCTGTGCCCCATATAGTTGCATGATAAAGGTAGAAGAGTCCTTGCAGTCCACACAGAACATTCCCTGACAGACAAGCCTTTTAACAGGACAGAGGCACCAAACAAGAATTTTGTGTGAGTTTAATGGCACACATTTGTTACCCCTCAACTGTGATTCATAAAATGAACGCATTTAAGGTCTTGGCTGACAACGTTCACTTCAACTGGTCTTTTTTCAACTCAGAATGAAAACACAAGGAGTTATTTTTTTCCCCAAATACATGTACAGGATTTATTTTAGCCTTCTGCTCTACAGAATTTTGAAATCATTACTCTCTTAAGCTGTAGTCTTGTCAGAGTGTTTGGACTTGTGGAAAAGGAATTAGAAATAACTGGTGGAGCAAAATTTGCCATGACAGTCACGGCACAGATCCTTTGCAGTCACATTCAGTTCTCTAAAGTGGTTAATATCAGGTCATGTGTGAATTAATTATATCAAAGAAGAGATGCATAAACAACAGGCTGGTGTTTGGGGACATTTTTTGGCAATGTGCTAACAGAATAACTTTTCACTAGAAATGTGATAAATGAGGGGCAAGCCCTAATATTTGCAATGCCCAGAAAAAGATCCTTTAAACATTAAAACAGAAGACAGCTAAATCAAGTCAGAGATTTGCACTAATTCCTCAGTATCTTCCATTGTGGTACACTACATTTGTGTCCTTTGGGAATCTAAGGAAATGGAAAATACCAACCACAAATTTCTAAGTTCTTAAGACTTACCTGAAACTGAAGAGAGATTTTTGCTCAGATTATCACATTCTGCTTCTTCAGAAAATGTCATCACGGTGTCAAAGTAATTCTCAGAGACATCTGTCATTTCACCATCAACATCTTTGCCATTATCTGTATAAATGGAAAAAAAGCATGTTATTGATCCTTACGATTTTAAAATGCATTTGCTGTGACAACAAGGTGAAGGAGTTGCTTGCTGGAAGAAAAAGACTACATAAAATGATGCTGAACACAGGCTCCTTTTCAAATAAGATGGACAGTACTGAGAATCTTGGGTTTAGAAGAACCATGTGCACAATGTGTGCGTAATAACTTCCAAAAAACAAAGGAGACAATAGATTGGGAGTAAAGTTTATCCTCTGTGTTTAGTGACAAGAAATCACTATGTAACATGGACATTAACCACAAGCATGAAAAATTCTTAGGAATTCAAAGAATCTCTGTAAATTCAAGATTCTGATCTCTCTTACTCCCCGCCTTCTGGAAGGACCTAAAAATTGTAAGAATATATTCTTTATATTACACAAAGATCAGAAGAGAAATTGTCTTTGGTGTTATAATTAATACTTTCTCAAAGAACCATCCCAGGGCCCTGCATGAAGAGGTTCTTTGCAAACAGAACATATGATCACAAAGCACTACTCTTGGAGTGGGAGAAAGAGCACATCTGCACATTAATCCAGCTCCAGAAAACACAGAGTATCTGCAAGTAATTTCTGGTAATAACTCTTCTTAACTGCCAACAGTAAAATGTTTCCAATATGGACAATGTTTCTTCAGTAGGCTGACTTTGGCTTTGCTGAGTTGGATGTTAGAGGAAGCTGCCCCAAAAGACAGTGATAACTTTAACTTCAAAAATAGAATTGTCAACATATAATATGTATAGCCACCAGCTACACAAAATAATATCTATATACATATAGGTATTACTCTTATGTATTATTTTACCTATATTTTAATAAATGTATTAATTATGTATACAGCTTTATGCATATATGGTAATTAATTCTCCAGATAAATTACACCCTTTGATTGCAGCAATAAAAAAAAATTCAAAATAAGAAATATAGTTGAAGAAGCCACTTAAATACAGCTTACCCCTGTTGCTAACTAAAAAACAATTCAAACAAGCACCTAGGGAGACAACAAATGTAGATATGAAGATATACAGTCCAGTTCATCTAAAATCTACTTTTTTAGTAGCAAAATAATGTATTCTCTAAATTCTCCTCTGTCGCATGTTACTTGTACATGTATTTTTCAAGGAGGGAAAGATAAATTCAATGACAAAATTTGATAATGACAAAATAATTTCAATGACAAAAGCAAAATCTAAGAGAGACAATTTTGCACTTTTACAAAATATGAACATAACTCGGGAAGGGCTGCTTATCGATTTCTCATAGAAAACGGTATGTGATCTGCTCTGGGAATCATAGAAGTGTATTACTCTCAGACTATCACATTACTAACCATATTTTATCAGAAAATATTGCATCTATTACAATTCAAGCAACCAAAAGGATGGCAAAAGTTGAATTAAGAAGAGAAGAAAGAAGATAAGTACTTGGCTATTTTTATGCTTTCAGAGCCTGTGCTGCCTGATTCTCTTTAGCAAAAAAAAAAAAGGTACCTAACCATTTGGGAGGAAAAATAGTCAAAAACTAATTTCTGCCTGTTTGTAGGACAGTATTTGTATTTAATTTTATATAGAAGACATTTAAAATAAATTTTTAAAGGTTTTTCTTTTTAGATCACAAAGTAGTCTGATGGTATCCTTCTAAATAAGTCTGATTCTCCTGAAAAAGAAAAAAAAAATTACTGTCTGGTACAAAAACGAGAAAACAGCATTATAAAATCAATTCACATTTTACCTTCTCTTATATTCCACAGTTCACTTGCATTGTAATATCCTGCATTATCCAATGCCAGCTGAAGACTTTTGGGCCAGTTTTCCTTATCCGAGCGACAGAGGCATTCAGTGAGTTTAGTTATCCCGGCCACTTTGCTTCTGTATTCACTGATCTACACACACCACAAACAGAAACTGCTGTAGGTTCTGAGAAATCTGCTCTTTGCTCAGTAGGTGAATTTGTTATGTTTGATGTTCAGTTGAAAACTGCACTTCCTTCTCAATGAATCAAAGCTTTACAATAAAATTCATCCATTTACCCACAACAGCTTCAATTCTGCCAGTGTAGTTGCACACTAAACTTAGCTGGCCTACAGGTAGGCTCCTTGTTTGAATATTTGTAAATGGTGTGAAACGTCACAGAGCTATTCTGTCACTTTCTGTCTGGCGACGTCTCTCTCATAAACTCTATCTGCCATAAAACTCTGAGGCTTTCCATTTCAGAATAGGAAAAGTTATAAAATTATGGCAGACCTGTGGCCAGCCATCCTCCTCACCCAGCCACCTGTCACACAGGCACTGACTCATCCCACAAGTGAGGCAGCCAGCACTTCTCTGAAGCAAAACTAGGCAAATACCAGGATTTTACCATACCTGCATGATCTCTTCACACTCCCTCTCTATCAGGCATGTGTTTATGTATGGCATGATTGCTATAGGATCAATTTCTAACATTGTTGCTTCTATCCGCTTCAACAGCTGCCTGTGCAGCTCCAGTTTCTCCAGTTTGCTGAAGTCCCAGTTTTCAATTGCTTCTGCCAGTCCAGTGTAACCTTTCAGAAAAAAAGAGAAAAATCATTACTGTGAATTTGATCTCTAGCTAGAGTAGGTAGGAACAAGCTGAAAAAACATTTTCTCAGCCACACTGGAGAAATTAAAATTATTTTTTCCTGTAAATGATAAAAATCTAGGTGAGCCACATACAATTTTTATCTAATATGTGACTATTTTACTTTTTAGCACTTGTATGTCTAGCATGAAAAACCCTATCCTAGAAGAGCAGAAACAAAAAAGAGACACACTATGTCACAGGTCATATCACCACATCTCCAAGCAACTACATCCACTTCTGTCTTTCAATCATACAATCCTTGGAATTCTTGCATTCCATGATTTTCTTCCAGAGGATTCCCAGAGCAAAAGACACTACACAGAATCACAAGGTGCTCTGGTAGTCTTTTATTTACCTGCATCTTATCTTTTACTCTTGTCCTTGACTCCATTCTCCTTCAAAAATCCCTAGGGTACTGGATTCAAGCCAGTCCTTGACTAAAAGCAGTACAGACACCTGAAGTCTAGACAGTCATCAAACAGCTGAAAATACTGTCCTGAACTGTCCTTCACTTCTAGCAAGGAAGGCATATTTTAAGGACCTGTGTGACTTGCTGTGTAGGCTTCTGAAGTGGAAAAATGAACATCAGGGTCCCAGAGGAACTTGTGGGGAAACAGAAGGAATTTGCCTAACTTCTTATTTCCTTTTAGAAGAGTGGGAGAGTGGTGTGGTACTTACCACCATAATGTCTTTAGCCTAAGTGTTACTTATCCCTGCATCTGCCAAAAAAAAAGAATAATCCTAAATTCTAATCTCCGGTCCAATTAACAACTACTTGGGATAGTACTTTGAATCAGAGGGCTAACGGTCTCAATTTTTTCCTGGATATACATCAAACTGAATACTACTAGCAGGTTCAAAGTGGATAGCTCTGCAATTCAGAAATCAGGATTATCACAGACTGGTAAAAGGCTGCTCTGGACCTAATACTTGCTTTAAGGGATGAGTGGGCTACATCCAAGTGATAAGAAACTTTCAATATTTGTTCACTGAAATAATTATTCATAATTAATGGTAAGAAAATGAAAACAAAAGAAGTTTATGGAATGAAATTGTGGGGTTCAACATACCTAGTAATTCACCAACAAGGATCTATGAAACAGTATACATGTATAGAGGAAAGCTGGCAGATGCTGCTTATTTTTTACCTTCACAATCTCTTCTGTTCCATTTCATAAAGGAAATTGGATTAGGAACTTACACGTCAATTAGTTATAGCTACTGTGGAACAATCATCCTTATAAACTACTAATGGTTGTTTACTTCTTGAAAGAAAAGACTTTCAATGCCATTGAGTAATTTTTAAAAATTTTTAAAAGGTCGTTTAAGACTGTTGTTGAGTGAAGTTACCCCACGCTACCAGTCACGCAGCTTCCACAATCCCCACGCAGCTTCTACAACTCATCTGCCTTTCTGCTTCAGAGGATTTAGCCTCCTTTCATTGTATTCCGTAAGAACAATGGCTGTCTTGTTTATTCCCTAAAGGCTCTGAGACACGAAAGTCTCCTGCCAAAGAGGCTTTCTCCATCCTCAGAATTGTTCCAGATGCTTCACTTCCTGACAGGCCTATTTCCAGGCTCTGTCAGCTGGCCTTTTCCTACAGCATCTGACCTGGTCTGGCAGGACGGGCGGCCGAGCCCAGGGCCGACGGAGCGTCCCTGCGGGTCCTGGGAGCGCCGGGAAGCTCTGCCCAGCTCCGCTGAAGGCAGGGCGGCCGTGCCGGCTCGGGGAGCGGCGGACAGAACCCGGCGGGTGGCACCCACCTGCTGCGACCAGGGCATCCAGGAAGCCGCGGAGCCAGCCCTCCGCCTCCAGCAGCAGCACGGCATCCAGGAACAGCGCGGCGGCCGCCGTGACGCCCTTCTCCTCCTCCTTTCGGACTCGCTCTAGCGAGAAGCCAGCACAGGCAGTGAGGGGCAGGCAGGGCAGGGCAGGGCAGGGCAGGGGCGGGGGGCAGCGTGTGCCGGCTCTCACCGTCGGACAGCCACGCCGTCATGTTGCTGAGGATGTACACGGGGTTCAGGCTCCTCTCGATGTAGCGCCGGTAGCACCGCAGGTTTCGCTTCTCCTCCGCCGTCATGGCCAGGCCGCCTGCACACCGCCGCCGGCAGTGCCGATCCCGGTGCCAATGCCAGTGCCGATGCCGGTGCCGCGGCCCCGGCTGCGTGCGCGCAGCTCCCCCAGCCGCGGTACGGAGAGAGCTGTAGGGAACGAGTGGGAGGCGCCCCCAAACAGGGAGCAACCGGAAAAAGAAACTTCAGCGCAGCCGAAGAATGGAAAGTGAAAGCGGTCTGGAAGGGCAGCGCTGCGTCAGTCTTTAACAAAAGGGAAAGGGGACTGCCGCTCCCACCCCGACTAAGCATGCACAGTGTTGGAAAGGCTGTAAGCAGCCCGTTCTTGCGGCTGCCAGGGTGAGAAAAAGCAGAGGAAAAATAGGAGTGTGAAAAAAGCCAATCACTCGTTTTAAAAAAAATTAGAAGTTTAATAATAATAAGATGGTTATTAAAAAGCAATATCATTAGAGTAATAATAATTTGGACTATTTGGATTAGGACAATATGAGAGAATAAAAACCAAAGAGTTACTGGCAGTCCGGGTACCTCTTTCTGGGCAAAATAAGCCTGAAAAAAGACACACGTTAGCAGAGGATTAAACCTTAAAAACAACAGCCTGTTACATATTCATACACTTGACACATGATACATAAATTTCATTCAAATAAAGGATTCTCTCTGGTCATCGTCAACTTCTTCCTCTCGATCCTAACGGCGTCTCCGGTGCTGAGCGAGGCGGGAAGAAGTTAGTTTCCTCTGATAATGGGGCAATAAATTCTCTTTCTCTGAAAGATTTAGGTGTCCTGTGGCTGCTATCTTGGTGCGAGTCCTTTCTTTAAAAAAAACAACCAAAAAACAAAAAACAAAAAACAAAAAAAACCTATCCTACATAGAATAGTTTCTATTTCAACATTATGTTATAACCTAAAACTATATTTAACACACTACTTAAGAAAATTAATACATTCTAACTTTCTAACATAACACATACAATATTCATTTTAATATTTGCGAAATCATAAAATACGCATTTTTCACACAGTGGCAGAAAGAAGGGCATTGACATTTAATTTTCTGCTCTTTTCTAGTCCACTTCTACTCTCAGTATTTAATATCCTTCCTTTCCTTTCTCTTATGTCTTCTGTCTGTTGGAAGAGTGATTTGGCATTGGATTACACTGCCCTGGGACGTGGTGGAATCTCCATCTCTGGTGAACCACCCCTGAAGGTGTTTAAGAAAAGACTGGGTGTGGCACTTAGTGCCAGGTGTGGTTGACTGGGTGGTCAGAGTTGGACAATCATATCGAAAGTCCTTTCCAACCAAATTTATTCTGTGATTCTGTGGTTTCACAGTAAATAAGGAAAGTACTGTTCTTCTCAAAAGGCTGTAAAGTTATTAGGGAGCTTTGCAAAAGCCTTTGGTGTGGTTTGTTGTGTAAACCTGATGCCAGACAGCATGAGCCCAAGCAGCGTGTGGATTGCTGCAGTACAGCAGGCAAGGAGAAGCAGGATTTCCATGGATAATTGCATTTTCATTCTGTAAGTCAATAGGATATTCATATATCCCAATATTAAAAAGCAGGCACTTCAGAGACCTTATTTCCATCATTATGCAAGAAAGCTCTTTGTGGATTGACGCCTTTGTTTAAGGACTAGATTGCCTCCCATCGCAGGAGTGGGGCTGCTGAGGGCAAGGGGAGCTGGCAGCAGGTAGGGTCCCTGGGGAAACCAGAGGGCTTGTTTCCCAGGATTGCTCTTCGCATGCATCCTGCCTCACTTGCCAGGGATCCTCCATTCCTCACAATGTCCTTGTTTGCAAGGTGCACAGACTCCTGCTTCAGCTTGTCATGCCTAATGCTGAATAAGTGAAATACACAAGAGCAAGGGTTGCTTTGGCACTGAGACCCAAAATAGCTCTTTGATGTCCTGAGAGTGTAATACTATATGTACAGTGAGTGGTTAAGACACAGTAACTATGAACACCAATGCCAAATTAATTAGATTTGCTAAATCCCTTGAGTTTTGTGTGGAAGACGGCTGTATACTGGCCTGAGAAATGTGCTGATAAGTTGTGCTGTATCTCCCTCTGTTGATCAAGGCTTGAATCGCATTTGACTAGAAGTCAAGAGAATGGCAGCTTTCTAAGCATAGTTTTATTTCTACAGAGGGAATCTAGGGTGATCTTTAAAACTGCCCATTTCTGTAAGTTCCTCAATAATCATCCACCATGCAGAGAATAAAAAATTAGAAAATAATTAAAAGCAGTTATTAAATTGTAGTTAGTGTTGTGTAAGACCAGATGGTAGGTTCTCTTGTGGCAGGAGAAATGCATAAAGTTTTTGATAGAAAACAGCAGACAAGGAGGGCTGCAATTCCTAATCCTTTCATTACTGCAGAATGCATTGTTATGCGTCAAAACAACATGAGGTTTTTCACTGCAATATCTATTGCCTCTCTTGCAAAATCCTCACATGTCTCTGGCTCTAATCCAACAGTCTGAAACACCTTTTGAACAAACACTGCTGTTCTCATTCCTTGGTGACTCCTCCATCTGATCCCATTGAACCTTCCCTTGGGTTAACCTGTAAGAGCAGCAAGTGTCTTTTCTAAGTGAATTTAGCATGGCATTTTATGTTTCTTCAGAAAAAAAACACAATCTCTTTTTTAAATGCATTTCTTCACCTAAAAATGTTGTTTTTCTTTTCTGAAGACTTTTATATCCCATTCACGAAGGCATGGGAAGATGCCCTACAGAGATCTTAGAAGACACTAAAATTAAGCTAGAGTTTGCTTTTACAGTTTGCAAGCCAAAAGACAAGAAATAGAAGAAAAAATTATTTAAATTACCTTTGCCTGTTCTGTGTCAGGAATTCAGCACAGTGCATAAGTATCTTTGTAACAGAAAAATTGGCTTTGTGACACTCTTATCTTTGGCTTAAGGAAAACCTTCAAGATACTGTCTTCTTAAAATCTTCAAGATACTACATTTGAAGCAGGCTTGAATCCCCTGTATTGCTTTCAGCCTTTCCTTGTGAAATGAACATCAGTTTTTATTCTAGTGTGTTTTGTCTCAAGTACTTTAGGTCAAGTGTTGCTTTACAGCGAGACAGAAACTTCTCCTGAACTCAAGAGCTGAACATACAAAGAAACAGGAAAGAGCAGAGGTGGCTGACAATGGTTGCTAATATTTCGTGTCTTATGAACAGCAGAGCTGTTCAGTGCTGCTCACTGATAAACCTTGCCCACCTGGTAGTTAAATTTATTTTTCACAAGGCTTCTAAAGTGTTTTTGTCAACTAACATGTATGATATTTCAGTCCTGGTTTTCAACAGGCATTTGGTACTGCACAGTCCTCTTCTCCAAAATATTTCAGAAATTGTTGACCCAAAGAAATTTTTTAAATCCTGGAAACTAGTGCAATAGAATGATAAGAGACATTTATGACTGATACAACTGAAGATGCCCAAACCTTCATTATCTCAATTATTTTAATGTCTAATTTTTTATTAGAAGGCTCATACTGGAAAGTAAATCTATGAAATGATCTTGTGCATTCACCATAGCATTCAGCACACTCATGTCCCATCGGTAGCAAAAAGGAATTATGTTCCACTGATTAATGTGCATTGAAGTCTTTACAGGCTTAACTGGCCAGAAGGACTCCTTCCTCTATGAGGTAATGAATAAGAAATGTAATAATTATCATCCAAGTCAAACATCATGGAACTTACCTGTGGCCATAGCAAAAATATAAAAATAAGAGCGTAATGCCTTATGTGCAAAGGAGCAATGAAACACGCTTTGTAGGCCACACTGGGTGGGGTTGTTGCTAACCTCATCGTTACCTGAAGTAGACTTTAGATAGAGAATGCTCTGTCACTAATTTCTCAAAGTCATGTGTATGCACACAGTGGGACATTCATCCCAGTAAGTGTATTTGAGGAGAAGGTCTGCTGAAGCAAAATAAATACCACTTCTGTCAGGTTCCAACTAGAATAAGCATGTTGACAGAAACCACCCGTAACATTCCCATGTTATGAAATTACATTTTTAATAAGAATTTGAATTAGTGTAAACACTGTGAAACATTTTCAGTCTAAGGACATGAGTCCATTAAGAAAGATTTATATCTCCTTTTGCAGTGCAGACTGACAGACAGATGTGAAGAGGAACAGCCTGAACTTTTTGTGTTGATGGATGCTCAATTTGTTAAGTAAATCCTGATACATAGAGTGTCATGTTTTGACAGGTGACTGACACTTCTCGGACTGGTGTCCCTTTGGCACAGTCCTGCTGACCACATAGGTCCCTTGAGGCTAAGTTTCCTGCACATCAAGTGTTTCCATGATATTGAAGCCCACCTGCACCTGTGCAAGTACTTGGTTCCTCCACACCACAGGTAAAGCTGGTGCTCAGCTGATAAACATAGACTTCAGGTGCACTGCAGTGCCACAGCCACCGGAGTCATGTACAGTATGGCTTTGTTTGTACCAAACTGCTGTTCACATGATAATCCCGTTGGATTCAGGGGTGAAAGCTGCTGCTTCTGTGGAAGTCAGTAGGAGCTCTACCACCCTTCTCAAGCCCAGCAGCACTCACACAGTAAGACTGTTCCTGTCAGTAGGTTTGTGTGTATCAACATAGCTTTGCCCGATTGACCCTCCTTTGGCTTCATCTTTGGGTGAATGAATGAATGAATGAATGAATGAATGAATGAATGAATGAGTGAATGAATGAATGCAAAATGCTTAAACTGAGCATGCATACTAGACGTTTACTTAAGCACCAAAGTTCAGAAAAAAATCCAAATTTGAACTCCCCGATGCAGTTTCATTCTCTTTCCTTAGGTCCTATTGCTGGTCACCAGAGAGAGATCAACACTTCCCCCTCGGCTCTCCCTCTTGAGGGAGGTGTGGGCTGCCATGGTGTCATCCCTCAGCCTTCTCCTCTCCAGGCAAACAAACCGAGTGACCTCAGCCTCTCCTCCTAAGCCTTTTAATTCCTTAGCCACTGGCCTAAGCACAGGATGACTCACATAGGTCTCACAAGTCCTTTAACCCCTGTTTATCCTCTCAGGCTATGTTTCCACTAATGCAAGGTCACTGACCTCAGTGGATGTATCCCTGACCTGTAATGAAGTAGCAAGTAGAGGAGCAATCCCAAA